GTTACAAGAGGGCCCTGAATTTGTTCCGGCCCCGGGTTCCAGTTTACAGGCACACCTGCAGTCTGCTCCTTCGGTTCCATGACCTACCAAGTATTCTCAAAATGAATCCCCTTTATACTAGTTTGAACTAAGTTTCTGTAATTTGCAACCCAAAGAGACCTAAGACAAGGAGCAAAACCTCTCAGTTCCCTCACCTAAGGTTTCATTGTTCATGTTCTGCTACCAAGACCTCTCTTCTTAGAGCTCTTTGGGGTCCTGAGGATACAGAGAAGACACAGCATCCAACGTGGCTCACAAAACCAAAAGGTGGGCATCAATCTTCCACATCCCACTCATTCCTCAACCAAGTTTATTCCAATATGACTTTGGTGCAACCATTTAAGTTACCGACAAATGCCAGTAGACTCCTTGTCCCTTTTGACCACTTGGCAACATTGAATGCTTTTTTGGGCAACATTGAATCCTTTTTTGGCAACATTGAATGCTTTCTGACTACTCCCTTTCTTGAGAGTCTTTTCTCTTGAATTCTGTGACCCTGCTCTCACCTGGTGTTCCTCTTACCTCTTCTATTCACTCTGCTTTAAGGGCTCTTACTCTCTTCGTGCCTCTTAAATGTTGGTGTTCCCCAAGGACCTGTCCTAGACTTTGGTCTCTTCTCCTACACTACACCTTCATGAGCAATTTCCCTCCACTCACATAGTTCCAGATATCACCTGTATATCTGGGATCACTCTTTTCCATTTCAGTCTGCCTATAGAACATTCCCATATATGTTTGGATATTTCACAAGCATCTCAAACTCAATATATTCAAATGAAATCACTCTCTACCCTCATGTGGAACACTTTGGGTGCACCACCTTATTCCTTGGCCCAAATTTTACCCCAGCCATGCTACAGCAATCACTTTTGCACAGATATAATCAGATAACACCTCATCTTGGTCGTATCCCATACTTCTCACTTTCCTCTTGGAGTTTCTCTGACTCTGCAACCAGGGAAGACTACAGAAATCCCTGGTGTTCGTTCAGCAGCACTTAACCAACTGGGTGTGGGAGCTGGTAGTTAAACACTCCTCATTTCCATATCAAGGGCTGACAGTTCTGAGGCTCACTCACCATGACTCCTTAGGTCCCAGCAGGATCGAGCCTCAGTTGCCCACAGCAGTGACCAACGTGATCATATACTTTTGTATTGGCTTTTTCTTCTTTTTTTGCAGGTACTTGTTATTAATAATGTAATGAGTAACTTCAGTATTTTAATATTCAAATCTTGCTTTATCAGATTATATAATGCAAAAAATTTAAATATCTCAGTGACAGGACAATAAAAGCAAATCGCTGGTGTGTTAAGTGAAGTTACATTTATGCTGCTATTAGTGGATCAGCTACTGGGTATAGACAAGAATGTGTTAGCGAGATCAATGGCTGCATATCAGTCAAGGGGTGACTTGCAACTATCTTCTGATACAGAAACAAGATGAAGCAGAGAACTAGCTGCAGGTGGCTCCACTTCACTAACTTTACTGTGATAACTGTAGTAGTTAACTTCCAGGATCTAGCTTTTTAAGCAGCCAAACCAAGGAATCAGAAAGGAAACAGTGGGACCAATCCTTCCACTTTATCATCATGGCTATAATTTTCCTCACTGTTTTATATTTACAGTTTTGGAGTGTCCATTGCCAGCACCCATTCATGCTTTGCCATTCTAATAGAGCTTCCTCCTCCCTCCAGAATCATAATAAATGGATTCTAATATCCTGCTCAGAAAGAGATAAAATACATGATCACATGAAGTATCTTTTAACTTTCCCTAACTAGCAACCTTGGATACTTCCTCCTCCATATCCTCATTGCGTTGTGTTGTTAGAGGTTCATCAAGTAACATCTTTTCCCCACTTGAGTTCTGATCGAACTCAGAACAAAGGAGGAAGGCACATAGAGATCAGAACAGCTGTTTTGAGAGCTGTTAAATGTGTCTGAGGGACAGTGACAACAGGTTTCCCCAGCCTGGACCCCACCCAGATATTTGTCCTACTGGAATCGGAAGACTGCTTTCTGCAGGTACACAGTGCTTGCCACGTGGCCAGGAGCAGGCATCCCTCTAACGTCTCCAATGATCAAAATAATCCTTACCTTTTACCGCTAACAGCCCCTGATGATTTTGCAAAACGGTGCTATACAATACAATAGCAGCTAGCCCAGAGTGGCTACTGAGCACTTGAAATGTAGCTAGTCTGAATTTGAGGTGTCCTATAAGAATAAAGTACTTGAAGACTTAGTTTTAAAAAAATGTAGTAACTATCTCAATGCTTTTTATATTGACTATATTTTGAAGTTTTAAAAATATTTGAATGAAATTCAAATATTGATTGAAATGAAATATTAAAATTAGCTTTTGCTGTTTCATTTTAATATTTAAAATATGGCATTATATTCCTGTTGGGCAGCACTGATCTAAAATGCTTGGACTCGGGTATAGGGCTTAGAGTCTCTTCAAGTTGATTTCATATTTAATGGTCCTGGAGGGGAAAGGTACTGCAGTTTTCCAGGGCCAGATTTGGGTCCTTGTCTCTCACATTGGTGCCATATGATCTTCACACTTCTACTTCCAATATAAGCTGATACATACATTTCCCCTGTACAATCAGGCTCTTGTTAATGCATAGTCAAGGAAGACTCTCACCAGGATTCCCATCACCCCAACATGGGTACTTTAACTACTTTCTGCCTTTTTACCGCAGAAGTCCCACCTCGATAAGACAGACCACTTAGGAACTTGACATCCACAGCCAGCTTTCTCTTGGACTTTCTAAGGAATCACGATTCTGGCTTTATCAATATGTTATCTAGGGACTTCCCTGGTGGTCCAGTGGCTAAGATTCTGCGCTCCCAATGCAGGGGGCCCGGGTTCAATCCCTGGTCGGGAAACTAGATCCCACACACATGCCGCAACTGAGAGTTCGCATGTCGCAACGAAGATCCCGTGTGCCACAACGAAGACCCAGTGCAGCCAAAATTAAAAAAAAAAAAAGTTATCTACTGACCGGCACCCGGTAGCCTTGCTCCCCAGCTCCTCCTCACCTCTGTCTTATTTATGTGAGACTTGGGGGTTCATTTATTCTTAGAAGCACAGGCCTGGGGGGTGAGATAAATTTCTGGGATTAGTAGTCGCACCAATTCTCTGTCCCAGGCTTCAGTGCACCGGTTTTCTCTATTTACCATATTGTCTTCATCTCAAAGTTCCCTAGCATTGCTTATCCTTTTTTTTAAAGTGTGGATTCATGGTGTGCTGCTATTAATTTGTGTGGTAAGTGTTCGATTCTCTTAAACTTAGATAGGGCTTATTTAAGCATCAGAGAGATTATTTCATTTTTTTGAAACCCCTTTTAAAGTATTTTGCCTTGTATCTTAAAGAATGTTGGCATAGGGACTTACCTGGTGGTCCAGTGGGTAAGACTCTGCGCTCCCAATGCAGGGGCCCAGGTTCAATCCTTGGTCAGGGAACGAGATCCCGAGTGCCGCAGCCAAAAAAAAAAAAAAAAAAAAAAAAAAAAAAAAAAAAAAAAAAAGATAGATAAAAAAAAGAATGCTGGCATACTTCCAGTTTGTACAATTTCTGATTCGAAGATTTCACCCTACTAATGGCCATTCAGTGAAGCTAAAACCTCAAAATTTAAGACCTCCACTACTCCATACCTTATTGAGAGGTAAAATGGCCCTTTCCTCAGAATTTTTAGGAGATGGAACAGTACTCCACCTTTTAAAAATGCTCTGCAGATCACCAAATTTTAGAAAGGAACAAAGGGAGAACTGCTGACTTTATGTCCCCACTCTGTTTCGATTACCACTTTACTCAAAAGTCCATTCTAGTCTCATCTTGCTGACAATGGCAGAGTATCTTAGGGGAATACAAAAGTAAATACATTTTACTTTTAACAAGTAAATACAATTTACTTTTAACAAGGCAATAAATTACAGATTCAGAACTCTCAGAGACAGTCATCAGCCAAAACTCTGTCAGTAGTTTCTTTTATTTTGTACTTGACATTATTAAATAATGATATTATCCACTTCAGTAGATTCTGCACTCTGTTTTTCCTCAAGTTACTTTGAAAGTCCACAAAGGTGGATCAATAGGGTTGTGAGTAGATTAGGGAAGGGTCTGTTTGGAATTCCAGCTTCTTGAATCAGACTTTTACTCCCAGGGAGAAATGCATGTTGGTCCACTGGGATTCATGCAGGGTGAGGTAAGTTCCAGACAGCCTTTCAGCATCAAGTCCTCTTCTGGGCTTCACCTTAAGCAAATAGAAAGGGAATGCAGAGCCTAGAGTCAAAGCTGCCTGGTGCCTGACTGTCAATAAAATAAAAATATAGGACTGGGTCCAGGGAATAGCAGGGTTTTGGGAGTCGAGATTTCAAGTTTAGCAATGTGGGATCACCTCATGGCAGACCTTAAATATTCAGAGACGTTTTCATTAAACAGGGAGCTATTTTAGGTCTTGAGTAAGGCATGATGGGCAGGAAGGGATCATTTGGAAAGACCGGCCTAACAGTAATATGAAAAATGTAACTTGTGACAGAGGCTGTTTATATTAACCAAATGCTGAGGTGCCTGTTGACTTTCCTAGTCTCTTGGTGCTGGGTTCTGGTTTATGAGATATAAACAGAAGTGTTGGCCCTGAAAAATATCCCAGCATACCCCCCAGCTTTCTCTTCCATGATGACCTTGGAGGCAACATGTTCTAAATGATGAGGATGAAGGAAGACAGACTCACATCTGAGTATATGTGAGAAATGAATCTTTATTTGGGGTTCACTTATTGCCCCAGAGCTTAACATCCCCCTCGTCAATAATGAAGAGGAAAGAATTCGAATCAAGGAGTGTCTACTGCAGTAATGGGAGCCTGAGATGATAAAGGTACAGGCTAGACTGTGAAATTCAGAGAAAGGATGTGAATCTAAGAGGTGTTTTAAATAGAACTTGGTAAGTCAAAAAGTCATTAATTCAGATAACTATTTATTGAGCACCTATTATTTGCAAGGCACTGTGTGAGATACAAAGACATATAAGTCACAACTCCGAGTGCTTACAACCTGGTTGAGGAAATAGTACATGTACATAAATTATAAAACAAACCTTATAGCATAATGGTAAAGAGAACAGACTTTGAAGGGAGACCTGTATTCAAGACCTGGCTTCACCTTTTACTAGCTGTCATATTGGGCAAGTTATTTAACCCCTCTAAACTTCATTTTGCTCATCTGTAATATGTGGGTAGTAACAGTACCTACTTCAGAGGGTTAGTGAGAGGAGCAAATAATCTACTCCTTGCAAAACTCTCAGCTGAGTGCTTGCCCCATAATAAGCGCTCAATAAGTGCTAGCTACTAGTAGTAGTATTAAGAGATCTAGAAGCTGGGACACAACAGAACAAGGTCAGTGCCCAAAGAATCTCCAAGAGAGAGGGACTAACGGCTATAAAGAACTGTTCTGGAAACAACAGTATTGCTCTGACATTAGTGTGCCTTCCCCTCCTGCTGTGGCCTCCAGTTATTTAAAGTGTAGTGATACCTGGGGACTAGGACGAGAGGTGTGTCTGAGGATCGCCTCCTAACGTTTGTCCCTATCGTCTGATAAACCTCTGCAAAATGTTGACTCTAAAGAGTCACATCCTAATTTCTGGCATCCCACATCAGCTCTATAACACAGTGGGTAGAGAATGTTCCTTCAAACACTGTGGTAACAGAGGCAGGTAAGGAGGGTAGTAGCCAGAATAGGTGCAATGACCGGGAGATGGGTTTAAGTTGGGGAAGACCTAACTTGAGTTTGCACGGAGGTCCTTTAACTAAAGCTTTTGCTCAACTCAGTCTATTCCCTGTTTGGCATAACGCCTTTGATGTTGAATAACTGATGATTTGGAACTGAAAACCTTCCCACACACACTGCATTCAAAGGGCTTCTCTCCCGTATGAACTCTCTGGTGTCGCGTAAGCCGGCACCTCTGGCTAAAGGCTTTTCCACATTCGCTGCATTCATATGGCTTGTCTCCGGTGTGAATCTTCTGATGCTGAGTAAGGGAGGAGCGGTCAAAGAAAGCTTTCCCACACTCGCTGCACTGATAGCGAGGCTCTCCAGCATGGGCTTTCTGATGTCTATTCAGTGATGAGACACCATAGAAGGCTTTGCCACACTCGTTACATTCATATGGCTTCCTGCCCGTATGGATTAGCTGATGTCGAGTGAGAATACTTTTCTGGCTAAAGGCTTTCCCACATTGATTACATTCATAAGGACTTTCTCCAGTATGAATTCTCTGGTGTCGAGTAAGGGACGAGCGGTCAAAGAAGGCTTTTCCACACTCATTGCATTTAAAGGGCTTCTCTCCAGTATGAATTCGCTGATGTACAGTTAGGGATGAACGGTCGAAAAAGGCTTTCCCACAGGCATTGCACTCGTAGGGGCTCTCCCCAGTGTGCGACATCAGATGTCTACTGAGACTGCTCCTGTGACTGAAGGCTTTCCCGCACTCAGGACAGTCATAGGGCTTCTCTCCAGTGTGAGTCCTCTGATGGCGAATAAGGGAGGAGTGGTCAAAAAAGGTCTTCCCACAGTCACTGCATTCCTGGTCTCTCTCTTTAATGAGAATTTTCTTGGGAGGGGTTGCCCCATGCTGCAACCTTTCCTCCTGAGAAAGGGATTGCTTGCAGGCCTCCACTGCAGGGCTTTCCTTCTCTGTTCCTAACCCACCATCCACCACATGAACTTCAAATTTAGGAGATGAAGGACCTTTCATTCCAAGCTTTTCCCTCAATGTTCTTTCTGATTTTTCTTCTTCTGAAGCACCTTGAATCTCAGGCTTAGTCTCCCAGTCTGGAATGGACAGAAAACACAGATGCATGTTTCTTTCTTGGGCTAGGAAATGTTACAGCAGAGAGGAGAGATGCTATGATAAATCTGAAAAGTCATGTACAGTCACCACATTGCTTGCTCCCAGAAATAGTGTTACACTCTAGGGAGAAACCAAGACTTGGGACTGAAACGAGGAATACAACTGATAGTGGAAATCTCAGAAAAGAGGAGAATTTCCATTGGGAGCATGGCTAGGTTAATTAGGAGAGTTGGCTAAGTGGAGGGGATGGTGAGGAATAGGAATATCAAAGCATGAATGGGTAATGTGACAGGTCTGAGAAAGTAAACATTTGGTGAATAATAGTGAACAGAACTTTAAGGTGTAGAGAAAAAGAAAAAAAAAAACGCTGGTGGGGGACAGAGAATAAATAATAAAGGAGAAGATTTGAATTTGAGAAAAAGGTGATACCCAATACTCCCTCCCACATACACCTAAATAACAACCACAGAACAAAACAAAACTCTGCCCTGCCCAGTTCATACTCAATTACCTTGAGAGACATTCTCTGCACATTCTTTCCCCTCAGATCCATGAAGCTCCACTATCCAAGGCTCATCCCCTCTCTTCAACTGAAAAATCACATCAGGTCCAGGAACTGGAAGTCCTGCTCATGGAGAAAGAAACAAGCCAGGTGGTCATGTGTGATTAAATACACAATGATTCCAAAGCTAATCCCAACCTCTACGTCTTTCAGAGAGCAAATGTGAAAGGCAGAAAGTGCACACCAGGAATACAGAGTATGAAGTCATATAAGGAATTCAGGAAACTCTGAATGGAGGTCAAGACTGAGCTTCTAAAAGGGAACAAATAGCATTTGGTCAGAGAGTTGATAGACTCCATTTGAATTAATGTGTTTATTCTTCCCCACGAAGTGAATGGGATGATCCTAGCTTTAGCACTGGTAGGATGGGGGGGAAAGTCCTTAACTCAGAGAAGATGAGAATGAAGAAAGGTCACATTGAATAAGAATGTGTAATGTGGGGGCTTCTCTAGTGGCGCAGTGGTTAAGAATCTGCCTGCCAATGCAGAAGACACGGGTTCGAGCCCTGGTCTGGGAAGATCCCACATGCCGCGGAGCAACTAAGCCCATGTGCCACAACTACTAAGCCTGCGCTCTAGAGCCTTCGAGCCACAGCTGCTGAAGCCCGCGCACCTAGAGCCCATGCTCTGCAACAAAGAGAAGCCACCACAATGAGAAGCCCGCGCACCACAACAAAGAGTAGCCCCCGCTCGCTGCAACTAGAGAAGGCCCATGTACAGCAATGAAGACCCCACGCAGCCAAAAATAAATACATTTATTAAAAAAAAAAGAATATGTAATGTGTATTATATAGGTGCCCATTTTTGTTTGTTTATTTACCCTTTACTATTGTGATTTTATTTAAACAAGTGGATCATGTTCATTGTAGGAAATCTAGAGGCATGTACAAGTAATAAGAAAAATCACCTTTCGTACTTTGTATTCATTTCTTTCTTTCTATTCACTTTGATACTGAAAGATACCTATAGATACATTTTGTTAAAAACTGGATAATGACAATTATATCTCAATTTTTGAAAATAAAAAAAAAACTACTGGAGAGCGATTTTAGAAAATAACTAAGACCACCCCAACTAAAATTATTCCTATTTGATTTATTTTGACATCTCCAAGTAGATAATTTCTAAATCCATAACGATTCACTATATATAATATATGTCACTCCAGGCACTGTTACATTTAAAACATCATTTTGGGCAGAAGACTCTCAATTAAAAAAACAAACAAACGAGGAAAAACCCCAAATAACTGGATAATGAAATAATGTTAAATTTTAAACTTGATTTTTTCACATAATAATAAATTTAAAATATTACTTTAATTAGCACAGCTCTACCTCACCATTTTAATGGCTACATGGTATTATATTGTATGAAATAACATCATTTATTTAATTAATCTCTTGCTGACAGACATTCCAGACTGTTTTCAATGTTTTGCTAAAACAAACAATGGTATGATGAATATCTGTGTACACCACAGGCTGCTAATCTTATTATTTCCTTAGGACAAATTTCTAGAAGTGAATCTGTCCATCTTTGGTTATATTTAAAAAACAGATCCCCTCCTAGAAATAGTCTTGAGGTCTAAACTTCCCCTGCATTGGGACCCCTGACTTGGGCAAGAGAGGTACTTTCTTCTTGGGCCCAAGGATCATCGATCTGGTTGTATGCTGACTCTCTGCTGAGAACGGCCACATCCATCACCTGCCCATGGCTTCCTGTCTCTGTCCTTAGATTTCTGTTTTTCCTACCAAAGTGACAAAGGCTCAGCAGTCTCCCTTAATGCTCCCTAAACATTCTCTTCTGTTTCCAGATTTGTCCTGTTTAAGCTACCCCAGGGTGTTTTGCTTGTTTTTTTGACCTGCCTTGAATGAAATCTGCGATGTGACTCCTTTTACTGCCTCCTGCTGCTGATTTTAAGTCTATTCTAAATCTGTACACACTCAGCCTCTTATTCTGGAAGCTCCTGAGAGGTTCTCCTTACAGGAGCCCAACTTTACTCTCACGAATACCTCACATCAGCAGTAGCTCTTAATTTTCCTTTTGTCACACAAATCTCTATCATTGCAAAGCGCCTTCTGCAGGCATCTCTCTAAGGTGTCCTTAAGACAAATATTCAAAATCAAACACATTTCTAGTGACCTACTCTGAGCTACAACCTTCTAATCTCACCCCTACATGCCCTCTTTTTTTTTTTTGGCATGCGCGTGTGGCATGCAAGATCTTAGCTCCTGACCAGGGATCAAACCCACGCCCCCTGCAGTGGAAGCACAGAGTCTTAACCACTGGACTGCTAGGGAAGTCCCCCTCTTTTTTTTTTTTTTAATTGAAGAATAGCTGATTTACAATGTTGTGTTAATTTCTGCTGTACAGCAAAGTGACTCAGCTATACATACACACACACACACATATATATATATATATACACACACACACATTCTTTTTCATCAATAGATTCTTTTCCATTATGGTTTATCCCAGGACATTAAATATTGTTCCCTGTGCTAAAGAGTAGGACCCTGTTGTCCATCTGCCTTTTTTTTTAAATGGAAACACTTCTTTCCCCCTCCTCTGTTTCTCTGAGGAGAAATTTTCCCTCAACGAGAATGCCCCTTGCACTCCCGCTTAAGTACCCTGGATGGAGCTGAGTAAGTTACTGCTGAGCTGAGGGAAGACCTGGGCGTAGGTAACTCGGCCTCTTCTGCTGGCCCCAACCCTCTGGAGAGCAGTTCCCTGCAGCAGGCTCTCACATGCCCTGCTCCTCCTGGCCCTGGCCCTGGCCCTCCGTGTCGCAGGGCCAGGCTTCTCAGCAAGGGCCCCTTGGTTGTCCAGTCTGCTTACAGCTCAGGGAGCAAGCCTGTCCCAGGCTGGGGCTCAGGACTGAGAAACCCGCTCTTGCTGTACACCTAAGCCACATCCCTCTGCTCTTCGATCTTGTCTCTCAGGGGTTCTGACTTGGGTGGAGAAGAAGAGGTGTCAATTTATTAGCCTCTCAAAAGCCCACATCAACACAGGCCAGACTCTACTGCCGGTGGCAAACTCTCCTTACCCAACGAGACAATGCTCTTATAGTTCTCCAGCATCACCTCCTTGTAGAGGTCCCTCTGAGCAGGGACCAGACACCTCCACTCTTCATCTGTGAAAACCACCGCCACGTCCTCGAATGTCACTGCGTCCTGGAAACACAATTACGTTCCCTTTATTCATAACCCTTCTCTTTACATGGACCAGACAAAACTATCATAAGGATGACAGCCTGGAGGATGCAGAGGGAGCGGAAAGAAAATGGTTCTGACGAAGTAAGGCTTTGAAGCATTTGGGGAAAGTGCTATAATCCCCTGAGGCATGAAGTTCTTGGTCACAACCCCACACTCCCTTCCTAGCCGAGCCTCTGAATATCAGGGGCTCTTCTTTCAGACTTACAGAAAATGTGCAAGAATAGAACAAAGAATTCCCATGTACCCTTCACCCAGCTTCCCCAAATTAACATTTTCCACACTGGCTTTATCTTTCTGTGTCCCTCAGTACACGCACATTCACCTGTCTTCTTCCTGAACTTCTTTAGAGTAACTTGCAAACATGATGTCTCTTTACTCATAAATGTTTCAATGTGTATTTTGTAAGAACAAGGATATCCTCTTGTGTAATCACAGTATGATTGTAAAAATCAGGATAGCAGTGATATTATATAATTATCTAATCTACAACCTTAGTCAAATTTCACCAATTGTGTGTGTGTGTGTGTGTGTGTGTGTGTGTGTGTGTGTGTAACAAATCCTTCAAATAATGGTGTAGATTAGATCATCTTTAAGATCTCTCTCATTTCACTCTGCTGTTCTGTGACTCTGTAAGGTTGCATCTTTACTCCCAATCCTGAAACCCAGATGAGTCTCCACAGTGTCTGCAGAAGCTCTAAGCCAGAGCATGGAATTCAAGACTCTCTGCCCTTGGGCAGGAAGAGGGTAAACCACATGTCTCTACCCACACAAAACTCTCTTCAGGACTCTTTCAGCCTCACTGAGGTGCTTTACAGTGTGTGTCACGTTCTCCGCCTAACCCAACAACTCCCTGGGATATGCGGGCCTACTTTCAGTCCATACATAGTGGATGTACTAAAGGGAAGTCAGAACTAGAAACAGCCCGCTGTTCCCCAAACCTTCCAATCAGACCTGTACCATTGGTTTTTAGGCAAAATTGCTCAGGGTGAAGGCTACAGGGGCTGCGTGCCTGGTGACAGGCTAGTGGGCACATGTTCAAGGCAAGGGAGCATCACTGAAAGATACCACAAATCAAATGGGAAGGACACACTTCCTAAGGAGTCCTTCCTCCACCTGGTTGGGTTTGATCAAGGAAGCTCCAAGATAGAGAAAGAAACGTGGTTACATTCTGGAGCCTGATAGAGTATTTCAGCAACACAAAAGTCCACCTCACCTGGAATCTGGCAGTTGGAGACACAGCAGCCATTCCCTCCCGAGTGCTCTCCTTGCAGAGAAGAGCCGAGTCCTAGTGAGGCAGAGGTGTGGGATGAGAAAGAGGGTATAAGAGCAGTCTTGTTTTGTAGTTTTGTGACCCATGAAGCAAGAAATCTCCACACACCAGTGAGCTATGTACTCACCTTCATTCTCAATACCCTACAAAAAGGGAAGGCAGAGTAAATCAAGGCCAAGAGCAAGCCCACCCCATCCCAGAACTAGAGCGAAAGGCCATGGATATTGCTACGCAGAACACAATGTGGTGCTTGTTTTACCATAATCTTAGAGGCAAAGTTCTGTTCCTGGCAGTCAAGAACATATTAAGGCTCATACCGTCTTTATAAATTCACATTCAACACTGCTCAGAATGATTACTAGACAAAAAGCATAAGAAATTTTATGAATGGGTATATGGACAAGTCCTGTCAAGGAAATACCCATAGCCTCTTCAAAGGAAAAATGCCCCATTCACAGCAATACCCGATGCTAAAGGAGCAACCCTTGGGCAGCCACAGTTTGTTCCGCGTGACCCTGCGTCTCACTCCTGGAGCCACACTGATTAGGTCACAGGTGGGCAATGCACAGGCTGACCAGTGGATGGACGTATGGTCTGGCTTGAAAAGATGACATCCATCCTCAGGATCGTGAACTAAGAAATGTTGGGACAACGAGTGGGTGATGAGCTGAAAGGATACCATGAGGGACAGAAGTAGCCATGAGGGTCAAGGAGCCAAAGGTACCAGGAAGCAGAACCCATGAGCATGTGGGAGGCACGAGGTAGAGAATAGGCTGTAACAGACTAAACACAGGCGGGCACGTTGGTGGTGAAGCATTGAAGCAAAGACCCAAGAATTCCTGGCCTTGAAGGCCCTAATTCACCTAGCACCATCCCAGACAGCAATTTGCATGCAGACCAGCCTTACTTATTCTTAGATTTCCATAAGACTCTAACCCTCTCAGGCTTTGTGTGAATCTTTATTACCAAACTTTACTTGCATTAACTGGGTCCATCTCAGTTTCTCACAATCAAGAGTCTAATTAAGACATAGTCAAATCAAGCATTTGGGGGATTCATGAGTGGAGTGTGGGGAGAGCGTGGTCCTGAGAAGGAAAGGGCGTGTATGTGGCTCAATGATTACAGCCAAGGGAATGTATTCATTGATCCTTGTTATTCTTTCATCCATCTATCCAACCAACATTTATTCAGCACCAACTATTTATACCAAAGCAAAAGAAGTATGACACTGTCCTTGTCTTTCAAAAGCTTATGGACTACTACACAGGACAAACAAGTAATCAAGTTAATATTTCACTACAGGATGAATAGATGCTCTAAAGAGATGTGCACAGCTAACTATGAGACAGCACATCAGAGGCCCAGACGGGAGGCAGGGAGGAACACTGCCGGTTTCTTGGCAGAAGTGGGACCTAAGGTAAGTTTTGATTTGGGGGGAGGCATTAGAACATTCTAGGCACAAAAAAAAAAATCAAGTTTTCCAAAAACAAGGAGGCAGGTCTTTGCAGGGAAAGGATTAACAACTGTAATGAGTTTAGAATGGCAATGTCTAGGTTGGGGCAGTGCTGGCGGGGAAGATGGGGTTGACGAAGCAGGCACAGACCAGCTAGATCAAGGAGAGCTCTGCGTGGTCCTACTCCCACTGGCATGGGGATCACAGAAGGATTTAAGCATGGAAGGGTCACCACCAGATTTGTGTTTTAGAAAGAGCTTTGCAATTTGTATCAAGGGCCTTAAAATACATATCTTTGACCCAGCAATTTTCTCCTCGGAGTTTTTCCTAAGGAAATAAGTAAGAACACATGCAAAGTTTTTTATTAATCATCACTAACACTAACCTTTACTGAGTGTCATGTGAGGCAACCTCCTAAGCACTCTACATGTGTCATCTCATTTAATCCTTACAATGCAGCAAAAATTTGAAATAGCCTAAGTTTCTAAAATAGGAGATTTGAGGGCTTCCCTGGTGGCACAGTGGTTAAGAATCCCCCTGCTAATGCAGGGGACACGGGTTCGAGCCCTGGTTCGTGAAGATCCCACATGCCGCAGAGCAACTAAGCCCGTGTGCCACAACTACTGAGCCTGCGCCCTAGAGCCCACGAGCCACAACTACTGAAGCCCACGCACCTAGAGCCCGTGCTCCTCAACAAGAGAAGCCACCACAATGAGAAGCCCACGCACCACAACGAAGAGTAGCCCCTGCTCACTGCAGCTAGAAAAAGCCCACGCACAGCAATGAAGACCCAATGCAGTCAAAAATAAATAAATAAATAAATTTATTAAAAAGATAAAATTAAAAATAAAATAGGAGATTTGATTAAATAATTTATGGTCCAGACCATACATACAATGGAATACCACTGATATTATCATATTAATATGATGTTATATTTTAAATGTTATTTTATATGATAATTAATATCATATTAATAATAACTAGCATTTATTGAACTTATGCTACTGACCAGGCACTGTACTAAGTACTCTTTGTAAGAATAGTTTAATTCCATCCTTATGAATCAATAAGGTATGGACTGTTTCACAGATTAGGAAATTTAGGCTTTGTAAGAGGCTGAGGCAGAATTTGAACCCTGGTCTGGCTAGCAGTTTTTAACCTCTATGCTGTAATGATTTATTTTCATGAACAGATAGCCACACAGATAACAGAAAAATAGACTAGAAAATACCAAAACATATCCAAGCAGGTAGGAAAGCTTGACACATGACAGAAGTGGCATCACAAATCACTGGGGGAACGATCACTAGTAATAAACTGCAAACAACTTACATGTTCATCAATAGGATAAACTGTGATTTTATATGTGTATGTGTGTGTGAATATTATACCTTGATTAAGATGAATGAACTAGAACCTCATGTTAGTAATATAAATTTCAGAAATATAATTACTGAGCAAAAATAAAGTTATAGAATGACTTACTATGTAATAGTTATATAAAATTTAAAAACAGGTAAATGGTATCTACAAAAATCTATACGGGACAATAAGCAACAGATTGTGAGTATCTCTGGGAAAGAAGGGAAATAGGATTGGGGAGGGATACCTAGGAGACTTCAACTTTGTAATGTTTTGTTAAAAAAAATCTAAAGGGAAAAAAACACAAAGAAATTCACACAATATTAAGTGAAGAGAGCTTCCCTGGTGGCGCAGTGGTTGAGAGTCCGCCTGCCGATGCAGGGGATGCGGGTTCGTGCCCCGGTCCGGGAGGATCCCACATGCCGCGGAGCAGCTGGGCCCGTGAGCCATGGCCGCTGAGCCTGCGCGTCCGGAGCCTGTGCTCCGCAACGGGAGAGGCCACAACAGTGAGAGGCCCACAAAAAAAAAAAAAAAAAAAAAAAAAATTAAGTGAAGAATGCACACTTTTAAAATTACATAATTGAGCATGCACACACGTACAGAAAAAAGACTGGAAGAATATATATTAAAATGTAAATGGAATTTGAGTGGTGGCATTACAAGTGATTTTTATTTTATTTCTTACAATTCCTTATATTCTGATTTTTTTTTTTTTTTACAAGAGTTATGTGTTTACTTTGGTGTACAGGAAAAATAACAGGAAGGAAGGAAAGGAGGTGTGCAGAAAGTTATAGCAGACCTGAGACTGCCATTCTTGGGAACATCTACCTGCAATGTTGGCCCTTGGCTGGGGTCTGGGAACTTCAATTTTAAGAGCGTTTCCTAAGAGGTAGGGTGGGCCATTATGCCTAAACTATTTGTGCAAACAATATGGTTTCTGCTGAACACCTGCTGTTTTGATAGAGGGCCTGGAATTTTGGTATATGTTAGGCAGGAGGTGCCTACGTGGCTAGCCCTCACTAAAAAGCTTGGGCTCTGAGTCTAAAGAACTTATTTGGGCTGACACATCACACACATGTTGCTGCATTTTCATTGTCGGAGGAGGAAGTGCTCTGTGTGACCCCTCATGGGAGGGAGAGAGCATGAGGAAGACTTCCCAGGGGTTCCTCCAGACTCTATCTGTCCCCCTTATGATCTGGCTGTGTATCCTTGCAAGATCACTGTCATCATCTTAGCCATGAGTATAACTATGGGCTGAGTCCTGAGTCCTGCTAACAAACCCCTGAATGAGGGGTGATCTTGGGCACCCCCGACACAGGCGGCCATACCACTCTGGGTAGCTGTGGCAGAATGGGAGCAGAGGAGGTGAGTAGACCGGTGAGGAGACTATTACAATTAACTAAGCAAGAAATGATAAAGAAGTGGACAGCAGACATAGAGAGAAGGGGAATTACTGTTGAGATATTAAGAATAGACCACAGATTAGAAGCGGAGGCTGAAGGTGATGGGAGAGGCAAGGATGACTCCAGGTCACAGATCTGAGTAACGTGTGAATAATGGCACCATTCATAGAGATGAGCGACAGGAAAGTAGTTTTGGAGGGAAAGCTAAGAAGTGCAGTTTTGGGCATTTAGAATTTGAGCTGTTTCCACATCTTTGGATAGGAAGAAAATCAGATGACTCTGGCTCCCACTGACCAAGTTGTAAAAATTATTATTGCCAAATGAAATCACTTGAATTTTGAAAAACTGAGTTTCATTCAAAACAGAAAGGTTAATATAAAGTATTTTAAAAATGGTTATAATACAAAGAAGGCAATGTTCAAGCCTTTAGTTATATATAATAGTACTTTGTTTTTTTCTATTATTTGTAAGACTATTCATAAAGTATAGACGTATCCTTTAGATGTATAGTTGTATTCATTCAGATAAGCATGAAAAAAGAAACCTAGGAAAAGGGGATAAGCAAAGTAATCCCAGAAACAGGAATTCCGTACCCAAAACAGGAAGGACTAACCAGCAATGGGACCAGGTAGAAAGAACATGGGCTCCTCACAATGAACCAACCTCAGATTCTAAAGAGGCAAAGTAACTGCAGACTTAATCCTTCTTCCCTTAGGAGATGAGCCCTTCAGCTGGTCTTATTAATTATAAGATACTAATAAGGTAAGTTACGTTTTCAAAAATGTCAAAAGACTAGATCAATATATACTTACTAGACAATGGGTTAACACCGGCCAAGCAAACTTTAAAAGAATATTGCCTTGAGGGTGAACAACAGTTTGCAAAAACTAAAACCTACGTGAAAGGCAAAAACTTAAAACAAAACTTACTGGAAAAAGAAGTTTGGTGTAACTATAAAAAAGAATCTTAACCTGAGGAGAGATTGGGGTTTGAATCTTGCTAGGAGGCCAAGAGGATACCTGTACAAATGGCAACAAATATACAACATCAGTTGGCAACCAGAGCCTCCAACTTGTGTAGTCTGCAGCAATATGTATTCTTATACTTGAGGGTCTGTCAAGATTCCTCCATCCCCAGGAGGGTCTCAAAATATTACCCTTGGGTCCTATGGAGATGTCAAAATTAGCATTTAGAGATACAGGAGAGTATAGGAGTAAAGGCTCTGGCAGACCACTTGAAGTCAAAGTCCAGCTCTGCCTCTTCCTACCGGTGTGACCTCAGGTAACTTTCTTAACCTCTCAGTTTGCCCATCTGTAAAATTGGGATAGTGAAAGTACACATCTCATAAAGTTATTGTGATGCTTAAATAGGATAATACGTGTAAGGCATTTAGAATAATATGCTAAGTAAGTGTTAGGAGTCCTAGGAAGCTAGAAATAAAGAAAATATTAATTACAGTGTATCGCTGCTGTTTTAGAGTAGGTTTAAGTGTAAGTGTAGCCACAATATTGGGATCAAAGTATTTGTATATGTTGTCTAAAGCATTAGAACTTTTTGAACAAATCAGCTGAACTACATCTGAAATTGTGGTTGAAACTGCTCAATGTTTAAATGCTTAAAGACAATTTTCAAAGTTTCATTTATTAGATTATAACTTTAATACACTGAGCATTAACCAAATTGCAAACAAAGGTGAGCATAAACGCTCCCCAGCCATTAAACGACCAGCTTATGTTCCCAAGGTTCTCATCGTCTGTGGGCTCCCTGCCAGGCCAACTTCATTCCCCATCAGGTCTAGACTCCACCAGCAGTCACTTTGGTGAGCTCTCAGTGGTACTCAGGACTCCTCAAATCCGCCACATTCACATGGAATCACTGCCAGCAAAGGGTCACCTCTGTTTTTCCTTTCCCTATTTCTGGATCTCAGAGTATTTCTGGAGAAAATGCTTTTCAAATTCTTATTCTATACCTTCAAAGAGTGCTCACCTAGAAAGCTCTTACTATTCCCATCTTAGCTACATAGCTATCCCAAACCTCCACGGCTACCCTTCAATTTCAGCAGAACACCGTCTTTCACCACACTGAAGCTTCACAATGCATTTCTGAGCTCTAATTCCGATAGTCCTTTTCTCCTTATTTCTCTGCAGTTTTCTGACTGTTTTGACAAGTTTCTGATGCTGCCCAAGGCTCAGACTGCGTACAGCGTCCTTCCCGCTATCCCGCAGAAAGTCCATGCACACCTGGTGCTCCATTTCCGCCTCTACAGAAATGCTTCCCGAGTCTAGTACCAACCCCTCTTCCAAACTCATCCTGCATTTCCAAATGACTAAGAATTTTGAATTAGGCATTTTGTTGGCATCTTAAAACCACCTTCCCCTATGCAATTCCCCACATGAGCTCCTCTCCCTCTCCTTACATTTCTAGCAGATGTTCTATTATTCTCCCAGGTGCCCCAAATTCAAACTCTTACCTAGCTATCTTTCCTCCCAAATCTAGTTAGTCACCAGATCCTTCTGAGTCTTCTTTTGCAGTGTCATTTGTATCCTTACCCACCACTGACACCATCGTAATTCAGGTCCACAACAGCTTGCTTCAGGACTACTACCACTACCAAGCGTTCCTAACTGGTTCCCTGACTAGTCCCTCCCCCTCTCTAGTCCTGGATGGAACCTCTAGAATAACTGTACCAAAATAGTTTTAGTCCTGTCAGTCCCTGATCCGTCCCATACAATCCACCCTGCTGACCGTGTCTCGTCCTGATCCTCTATGCTCTGACCCCACTGTGCTTTTCCCCACCCTTGTCTCCCACTATTCCTCTTATACGTAGCATTTCCTTCTCAAATCTGCCTAATGCTTCTCTACTTCTTTCCTATTTTTTTCACATCAAATTCTACCTCCTCCACGAAGGTCCCCTGATCTAGTGCGGAGGCCTATGGTAGGGAGCTAAACGAGACAATCTGATGCGATTTCTGGGAAAGACGGAGGGACTGGAGTGGGCGGCACCCTAGATTTAGTGTCAATGCCACCCACGTTTATTAAGCACCTACTACGGGAAGAAGGTACGGGAGGAGCAGAGGAAGGCTCCAAACTTCCCACGGAACACACGCACACACGGGGGCTGGGGGGACAACTTTCCGTCCGCGCCTGTCCGAGCCGGGACGTCGACACACACACGCACACGCACACACTCACGCACACACTCAGACGTTCTGCAGGTTGGCTCCGCCCGCGTCACCTGTTCTACTCCCACAGCACCTCCCCCAAGTTCTCAGCGTCCCCTTCTCTCGGCCGCTGCGCTCACTCGGCTCCGCCAAGACACACACCCACTGCCCTCACCTCCGGCACAGAGTGCTCGCGACCCAGGAAGACGGCGCCTTTTCAGGTCGGGAAAGCAGTGCGCCGGCGCAGGGGGATCTGACGTCCGCGCTCCCCACCAATGCTCGGCTTTGGCGGACTCCATTTCCCAGAAGTCTCAGCGGTTGGCGAGCTTTAATTTGATGTTTAAAGATCTGCGCAAGCGTACCCTTCTAATGAAGGGGTGGGCGGTGCCGAACCGGATCCGACGCGGCAGTGCGGCAGCCTGAGCGCGGCGAGGGAACCGTCGTGGATGCTAAGGAGGCTTGTGGCCAGCCTCGAAGTGCTGCCTATGTGTGATGTCACGTCCCTCCAGTCCTCCGATGGGAGGGCCGTCCTAAGGAAATGTGCCTCTTTTAGCTTTGGGGGCCGGTCCCTACTGAGAACGACTTCGAGTCTTCTGGCCCTCGGAAGGGGTTTGTTTCCGCTTCAGCTTGTTCACTTTAAGGAATTTGGTTGTAAAATTTGGGCAGGAGTGACGCAGAGTTTGGTTCTGAGGATGGGGCTGTGCACATTTTTGTGCAGAAAAGAGAAGAGCCCAGGAGTAAGGCAGGTAGCCCGACTCCCGACATTTTGAGTGCACACCAGCCTGCCTTCCTTGGTGCTACTGGAAGGACTCTCGTCGGAGTCTCGCAGGGCTTCTCAACCTTGACTGCACGCCGGAATCACTGAAGAGCTTTGATATATTGATTCCTGGGGCCCACTATGGGGAGTGAGAGTTTGAAAAGATCTGCAGGTGATCCTAATGTGCAGCTAAAGCTAAGAATCACTGCTCTATAGCTTCAGGGAAGACTTGAGATTATACAAAGAATGTGATGAAGTTCTACAGTCAGGAACAAGTCTACACTTGCACTCAAAAAACCTAAATTGCCTGCCGTAGGCAAGGCATTATTACAAATACAAATACGACACAGTTACTGCCCCAGAGGAACTCGTGTTCCAGTGGACAAATCAGAATGTGAAATTGTTACAACACAAAGCAGTGTGCTCTACAATTATGTCACTATTGGGAGACACTATTGGGAGTACAACTGAGGAAGCAATTAACTATGGCTGAGAAAGTTGGAAAAAGCTTCCTATAACTGGTATACTTGAAGAAGAGTAATTAGAAAAAATGCAGAGAGAATAGCATCTGCAAAGGTATAGGCTAGAGGATAAAAGTGCAAAGAATTAGTAGCAAGATGAGTGGCAGATGGATAAGGATTAGGGGCTGATAACCATGACTTGGAGCTAGATGGAGGACGAATTTGTGCTATAGTAAGGGGTTTGGACCTTCCAAGAAGATTAGGACTTGGAAAAGTTACGACGTCCAAGACATATTTTCTTGCTGTTCCCTTCTGTGGGTGGTTTGTTTTTTGTTTTTTGTTTTTGCGGTATGCGGGCCTCTCACTGTTGTGGCCTCTCCGGTTGCGGAGCACAGGCTCCGGATGCGCAGGCCCAGCGGCCATGGCTCACGGGCCCAGCCGCTTCGCGACGTGTGGGATCTTCCCGGACCGAGGCACGAACCCGTGTCCCCTGCATCGGCAGGCAGACTCTCAACCACTGCGCCACCAGGGAAGCCCGGGTGGTTTTTATTATTCATTTAGCCTTATGCTGAGAGTGGAAATTTGTGGGTCCTGGATGAATTTCTTAGAGTTCCCTACCCTCGGGCAGGCCTTAGGGTTTCATCGCTACCTTAACTCCCCAGGTTGCTGTCAGAGTGGGAGCTTGAGTTCTCAAGGGTTTAGCAGGGTAAGAGTTGGGTTTACTGCTCACTCACCTCTCAGGGCTCTAGCTCACACTTCCTTATTTTTTTTAATTGAGGTGTAGTTGATTTACAGTATTATATTAGTCTCAGGTGTACAACATAGTGATTCACAATTTTAAAAGATTATACTCTATTTATAGTTATTATAAAATATTGGCTATATTCCCTGTGCTGTACAATATATCCTTGTTGCTTATTTATTTTTTACATAGTAGTTTTTACCTCTTAATCCCTGATCCCTATCTTGCCCCTCCCCCTTCCCTCTCCCCACTGGTAACCACTAGTTTGTTCTCTGTATCTGTGAGTCTGTTTCCGTTTTGTTATATTCACTAGTTTGTTGTATTTTTTAGATTCTGCATATAAGTGATATCGTAAAGTGTTTGTCTTTCTCTGTCTGACTTATTTCACTAAGCATAATACCCTCTAAGTCCATCCATGTTGTTGCAGGTGGCAAAGTCTTATTCTTTTTTATGACTGAGTAGTATTCCATTGTGTGTGTGTGTGTGTGTGTGTGTGTGTGTGTGTGTGTGTGTGTGTACTGTCCTCCTTGGCAGCAGATGCCCACTGAAGGAAACCCAGCCCAACCTACCCCCATTCTTTGCTGGAATATTTTATACCACATCTTATTCATCTGCTGCTGGACACAGGTTGCTTCCATATCTTGGCTATTGTAAATAATGCTGCTGTGAACATTGGGGTGAGTGTATCTTTTTGTTTTCATTCTTTTTTTTTTTTTAACTTTGCAGATTCCTTACTTTCATGCCTGTGTGTTTAGAGAGATGATTTATAAGTTTTCAGCATTTTTAGTTTTTTAGTTTTTTTTCAATTAGGGTTGTTCAGGGAACCCAATCTGCCATGTTGCTGGAAAGATTAAGAGAATTTTAGCCAGTTTTCTTAGAAGAGTTAGGAAGGGCATATGGATGCTGAACAGCCAAGAAACAACGTTGTTTAGAATAAAACAAGGCCTGCCAGCTGGGGGCTCTTGCCAAATTGCAAGATATTACGGCTATCTGCTGCTGTGTAACAAATCACTTCAAACTCAGTGGCTTAAAACGTTTATTATGCCAATAACTTCTGTGGGTCAGGGACTTGGACAGGGCACAGCAAGGGTGGCTTGTCACTGCTTCACACTGACTCCAGTGTGAAGAGGACTCAAGTGTCTTCATCACTTGTGTGTCTGGTACATGGACTGGCATCCATGGCTGGGCTCACCAGGACTGTGGACCAAAGTCCCTA